AATCAATTTGATAGAAGTTCCTCGAGACGTCCCATGCTTCGTCCTGTTATGTTCGGAGGAGAGAAACTGGTTCACATTTCTGCAAAACAAAATGCAAGATGAAATGAAGTTCCATGTCGTGCCAATCACTGAAGATGATGACATGCTCTCTCCGTACGGAATCAGTAAAGCAAGACGATGCCTTAGGACCAAGCTCGATTCAGTGTTCTTGGCAGGTCCATGTACAGGAGGTTCACCATGGAACCGAATCAATCGATGGGTCAGTGAAGCAACGACACAACTCATTGAAGCAAAGAAGCAGATCTTCTGGGCTATGTGGGAAGTGTTTACGTCAGTGCTATGTGAACTCATCAATATGGGATCGCCAGCCTTGCTTGAACTGCCTAGAGGTTGTGATTACTGGAAAGACCGTAGGATGACTGATCTTGTAGAAGGAACGGTATCACATGAGCACAAATTCGATGGTTGCATGTATGGCCTGAAATCGCAATTTCAAGAAACTCCCAAACCAATCAAGAAGCCTTGGAAGATTGTCACATGGCGGGTGTCATTTCCGAAACTACATAGGAAGTGCGATCGCCGTCATGACCATGCTGAATGTGCCGGTAGGGAAACTCGAATCACTCAAGTTTACACAAAATGGATAGCCAAAATTATCATGAAAGGTATCAATGAACATGTGATCAAAAACAGTCCATTCGTGAATGTCAAAGTGAGAAAGCATTGGAAAACCATCACACCTGATGATGAATGGTTGAGTGGAATGTTTCGTGATTCAGAGAATGTCCGCAGTCACCCTATCAAGCTGGTGACGGCAACCGCCTGTGCTATCCGAGAGCCCGACGCCATTGACTGTTCGTTCGAACGCTCTCTTCTGCACTGGTACTTTTCGAGATTGACATCACCTTTGAGTCGCTCTTCGTGGTCTCCGACACTTCTGTGGCGATTACTTTCTGGATTCAACAACGGTCTGTTGTTACGCGACCACCGGTCCGTGCAATTGTTGGAGTTGATTGAGGTATTGTCACATTACTGTTTGTCGACACAGATTAGATCATTGAAAAGCACGATGACCGATGGTGTTGATTTGAAGTCCTTAGGACAATTCTCTAGCAAAAGAATCACAATTGCTCAAGGCGTACTCAAAGAGTCATCAGAAGGACTGATCGTAGCTCGACCTCCACCTCCATTCAGAGACACACGAGGTACAGGACCCCAACTGCTTTCATCGGAAGATGTTGCCAATCAGTGGATTCGTTTTGGCATGCCACCAGTGATCGTATAAAATTTATACTTTGCAAACACCAGATACACCACTGAAGCTACTTCAGAGGTACTGGAACTTGCATACAAATCTTGCAGAGATCACAGGACTCCGAGAAAGAATGTTCAGGTTGGGAATTCGTTGCAAAGGGATCAAGATTTGTGAAAGTCTTTGCTTCGAAATGCCCGTATGAGGATGACATGGTGGGTCTGTTGATGGATCGAGATATTCATTCAAGACTAGACGAGCTGTGGATCGTTTTGACCAAAGGACATTTTCCTGAACCATTCGATGACCAGAATAGTGCTGCAGTCGCTGAAGCGAAAATCAGGGACATGAAGCAGCGCTTCCGTGGTACTCCATCTTTCAACACTGAACCGAGTGCGACGTCGTGGTTAGCTGTCACACGAACTGCCGAGTATTTCAAAGTCATGGATGAGTTGGCAAAAGTCAATCCGAAATCTCCATCCGACAATCAGAACTACTTAGCAACAGTGAGACAGATGGTAGAGACCCACATGAAACTTTTGGGCTTTTCATTGAGGTATCACAACCAACACAATCCTCAGGATCTGATCATTCTTCAAGATGTGATGAGGGACGTGATTAACTTCGAGACAGAACGCCCGAAGGGAAGGAGTGCAGCTCCGAACCATTTTCTATGCTTGCTTACTCTGGGATCGACAATTGAACGCCACAAGACAAGTGCTCGAGGTGACGCAAGGTCGATTGGGTCCAAACCCAACTGTTGAGGGCGTGCGAGGAGTCTTGCAGGTTGTGCATTGCCGGCAATTAAGAAGTTTTGTTTCCCATGCAGCCGTGCTAGCTTGTGGAACCCATCTACATAGCACAGTCATGTGCATTGCAAGGCCAGCCAGTTTGTGGAGTCGTACAAGAAGCACATCAAGGTTGCCCAGGGGTTGATGCTTGGCCTTGATGTAAAGTGAGTTGTCAAAGCTTCCGGCTTCTGCTGTTTGCCTTGTAATTGGAGTTTTGCTTAGGATGCAGCAAGTGAAGCGGGATGCGGCGCCCAAGAAGGCTCCTAAGAAGGCCAAGTAGAAAGCATGAGTGACCCAATACAAGTGCACGAACATGTTTACGATTGGTGTTTGTTTTTCCCAACGCTAGCCGCTAGCATGTAGTTTCTGAACATTCCATGTCCTGCAGCGACTTTACTTGAATGCCGGCACAGTGCATGACATTCGGCAGTTGAAACACTGCTGATGCAGCTTGGACACATATGCACAGGGTGGGTCGAACAGAAAACATATCCAAGCCTCCTTAGACAAGAAGTTTGGCTTGCAGAACAAATATATATGCTGGGGCATGTTTGAACCGTCCTGTTCAGATGCCTCCCTGTGTGCCAATTCACCCAAGTGGCCTCGTGCTCCGAATGTGCCTAAATTCAAGAGTAGCCAGATTTGCCAGGCTGGGTAGTTTTTGTAAGATCAGCTTCAATAATTTTGCCAGGATGGAAGCTGTCAGAAGATTGTCCACTTCCCCATGAAAGCCAAGTGGTTTGCGGCCATCAAAGATGGAGGAAAAAAATGCGAATTACGGTCAGCGTCAGATCATTGGCTCTTGAGAGTACAGGGAGCGACACACTGCTCTTTCACTTTGGGTTTCTTGACTCATGTTTGAGCCATTCTTCCTTTTGAGAACTTTTTGGAGCGTAAAGTCGATATTCTATATTGTACATGCTTCTTCTTGTCTTGGGGATAGCAATGGCAGAATCATTTTCCAATGTTTTGCCGGCGATGTTGTTTTTTGATCAGTGAGAAGGCTACAATCCAGAGCCTAAGATTGTGAAGCGTATCACCGGGACTGAAGTTATCCCTGTCACGCTAGCCTCAGACTACGGAGTGACACGTGAGGAAGTCCAACAGCTGTTTCAAGACTATGACCAGTTACTGGCTGTACATTTTGAGTAAGCTGTAGCCGCAGCAGAACTTTAGAAAAAATCATGTCACGTCAGATCCAGCTGGGCAATTTTACTTGGCTTTGGCGTGTAGCGAGACATTTGCGTGGAGTGTTTGGAATGCATACTCGATTTGTTGGGCTGGTGAAAATAAGCAACCACTACTGTGCAGGGACATTGTGATCACGCACTGAACTGTTTGCATGTTGCTTTGGACGGTGATGAGTCATGAGATATTTTTTGGACTGTGTGATCCAGCCTGGCAAGTTCGGATGCACCACATGATGCATTCTATAAAGTGTGTCCGTGGCGTCGGACCCTGGGTGCATCGCGATTTACACAGGATTGTGAGGTGCCAAAGCGCCAGGTTTTCAACAAGCCATTCCATGCATGCGCGGGATTGTTGTTAGTTTGCATCACGTCGATGTACCTGTGTTTTCTCCACTTGCACACATGTGCAAGTCCATGGATGGATTTCCCATGCAGATCAACAGCTATAAAAACGGGCTGCGCCAAGTCAGCTTCAGGGCATGCCCGTTTCAAAGCCAGAGCATGTTGGTGTTTGTGCACTGCAGTTTGCTAGGTCGCGGGTTTGGGCTCATGACCGTTTGTCAACCACGGTGACAGATATAAAAAGCACGCTTGAAAATGTGTGTTGCAAAACCAGGAGGATCCGAGTAGCAAGTTACTTGGGTATGTAAGAGTGCATAGGTCCACAGAGGGCACGGGGCCAAGTTTACATAGCCACAGGATATGTGCTAACACACAACCTCCGCTACCATGATGATTCCACACTGCTGCCTGCCTTAATGCATGGTGCAACAAAGGAAAAACCTAAAGTCTTTGGGACATAGCGCACAAAAGATCGACCCAACACAAGCCAGTCAGCTATGGCAATGCTTCAAGCCCATGAGCCTAGCATCTTTTTTTGGAAACACTGTCGGTGGGAAGGCCATGGGTATTAAAAACTAAGGGGAAAAGGGTGGGAAAAGGGGTGGTAAATATGTATATGTATATACAAACATATATATATAGAAATATATATATATATGTGTGTGTGTATGTATCCTCTTCTATACCCATCTCTTTATGATGTGTATGGACTTATGTATATATATACATTTATGTATATACATATATATATATACATATGCATTTTCTCTTCTGTATATGCCAAATCTTTTTTGGATATGTATGCACATATGTGTATGTATATATATATATATACACATGTGCTGTAATATATACATATGAACCATTAGCCATTAACTATTAACCATTAACCGTCCAAATCCTGGGTCCACGCACCCGTGCACGGCTGGCTGGTTGGGATGGCAGTGTGAATTTATAGGGTAAACCCTTAATATTAATCCATATCATCCAAAGATTATCATCAGTAACAACCATATATCTTGCTAGAGAATTGGGGTATTCATCAGAAGGATCACTCATGAGCCAATTTTGGGGGTGTCTGCAACATTCCAAACAAATGAAACATTCCAAAATATTCTGAAACATTTTTACTTACTGGGTATGTTTTGGAATGATGTGTTTTTTTTGGAATGGTGCATCGTGAGTTTGTTTTTTGTCTATTAGACATTATACCAATAATCAACGATAACAAGAATAATCAATGACTAAAAGCCTTTCACATTGCCAACCCAATACGCTTGGAGGGTCAAACCCTTGTTTTTTTCGCTGGCGCACCGCCGCTGCAGCGGATCTTAAGCCGGGAACCCTGGCCAGAGGATTTGGTGCTTGGTGGGTTTCTTCAGATGGTTTTGATTTTGTCAAGAACTTTACTTCACGCTATAGTTTTCACCAAATCTCCTGAATCTCCATGTCCTGGAGATTGCACAGTTTTTCCCAGTGCATCCCCAAAAATAAACTGAATCTTTGAAAGAATCGTTTTGCCACTGTGGCACCATGAGTAGCACTGGCTATCTTGGTGATTTTACCAAGCATATCTTCTTCAGCCAGTGTTTTATGGTTCCTACAATTCTCATCGCTGGTGGCGAACTCGAAAACCATGTGGCACCATGCGTGCCTCGGGATGAATCAAACCACAAGGATGTTGGAAGTTATTTTTCAATCAAAACTGTACCCATCAGCAATTATGGCCCAAATACATTGGTCCATTAGATCAACATGTTCCACAAATGAGGGTTACGCAATAACAAAACACCCCATCAACTACCCCCCAAAAAACACAGCAAATATGGGGAACATCGAACCCGAAAATCAACCTCTGTGGTGGTGGTTGTTTATTATAAATGGTTATACCAGATGGTTGCGATGCTACCCTGCAAAGATTTGACATAAGTTTGGTAATATTTTTCCATATTTGGAAACCCGAGAAACCATTTGGGGCGAACTTTGTAGTTGACCCGGCCCTTCTCCAAGTTCATTGATGATAGGCTGGCGTAAGCAGTAAGGGATGCCATGCCAGATTCATAGGCCCTTTTTTGCAAAGACTGCCCCAAACGCAGAGGCGGGCGATCGGTGACCCACAAGAAGTCTGCCACTCCCCAAAGCATCAACGAACGGTGCTTGCACCCGGTACCTGGGGCCGATGAGCCCAAGTAAGGTTTCATGTATTCTTGACCATTAATTCATGTAGAGGCTATACGTGGGAGTGGATACAGATTTGAAAATAGGACTATAGTTGCAGATATATACATTTGATCGACGCATGCTTACACGCACGCACTCACATATGTATGGTGGTGCACTGTATCTATACATAATGATCCGTTTTCGTTTTGGTTTATTTACGATATACATATATGTGTACAGTTGAACATATGAAGGTAAAGCCAGATATGCATCAATACAGGTGCACATAAACATATTAAACATATAGGTGCATAAACAACTAAAGCTGTATATAAACAAACACATGAACGAAAACAAGCCAAACAACATCATCTATAACAGATGATCATACTCAAATGGTGATTATATTTGTGGTGTCGGTGGTGACATGCCTGCATCAGATTGTAATAGTACGGGCCATATCAACCAATCAAACCTTGGCTATATGGTGGGTGTAACAGGATCATATTCTAAAACAAATGTTTCAAACCCATTAGGTCACCAGGTGGCACTTGCAGTGGGTAGCGATGTCCTTCGCCAGCTCTGCTAACCAAAAGATAATTGGTTTGGTATGGGATGCTTTCACAGACGAATCCAGAACTGGATAGGCATTTGCTGTATCATTGGCACCACGCCCAAACAAATGCATATCCCAGCATGCTGGTGGTTTCTCTACCTTATGACGCCGGCACCACATCCTGAAAGCCCGACCCAAAAGGTTCATGATCTTGTCACCACGCGAGTGCAGCCCTCCCTGAGGTGCAATGAACACATCCTCGCTAAGCCGGGCGAGTATTGGAAGTTCCACCTGGGATGGCCAGATGTGTGATTAATGAGATAAGTGTCATTTTTGTCCACACCAGGTTAACAAACCTCTGTTTGCATACAGGAGATCTGATATCGGATGGGTATTTCATTAAGGGTAAATAGTTGATCAGTGAGCTTATCAAAGGTTCAAATCCTCATCAACTAGAAGTAAACCCATATGATCCCACTTGTTTTGGTTGGAACAACTATACTATGTACACTGTAAAGAAAAAAGAAAACACGAACATAGTTATTTCAAACACCCACATTCATTCTAATTTCGGGACTGGGGGGCAATGTCACATAGGAAGCTTCCCGCAATGTCTTTGCCAGTGCCAAGCAAGATAGTGTGGGCACTATCCCAACGAACCCTGGATATATCAAATCCTGGAACTGCTAGCCATGGAGTTTGGTTCTGAACAGGGGTCTCAGCAAGGTAAGTCGTGTGGTTCCTGATAGTCCTTGTCCATGGTGCATCAACCCGAAAATCAGAGTAGACAAGGTGGAGTAGGTCTGCTGATGTTCGAGCATGGGGGTTAACTGCAGAGCATTGATCGCACACCATTGTAGATTGATAGTTCCGTCTTACGAAACTGTGGGACAATGCACGCTCTTTCCAATCACCACACCAGAATTCAAATCCACCCTTCCACCCTCCAGCAATCGGTTGATTGGCTTTTGTACCACGAGCACCCATTAAAAGGTTACCATGTTGGTCATGGGTAGGAAAGGTACCCCTGAGCAGGTTTTCACCTTAGTTCCACAGTTGGGTGAAAAGGGTGCCATACATATAAGCCCCAAACTTAAGACCAAAACAAATACTAGCACATTTTTGCCAAATTTATCCAACCCAGTGGCTGTCCCAAGCAATCACCTGTGTGATAGCCTTGTTTGCTTTGACCCTGAGTTCCTTTGTTGGCAAGAACCTCATTGGTACCACACAAAACGGAAACTTGGTGCACCAGTTTTTCATAGCCATTGTTGATGACCAAAGCCAAATGATCAACTCATGGTTCGTGTTGAACTCAGCCCCATCGGTGAACCACTTGACCTCAGCAATATTATGATAGGAGTGGCTCACAAAACTCATATAACCATACATATAGTGACCCGATAATGATGTTAAATTGATAAATACTACTGAGTAATGTCAGCTTTGCCACTGATTGCTTCAATAGCTAGAGCTAGGAAAATGATAACCATAAATGATGAACCATCCAGAAAATTGTTGATGAAGTTGTTGATGGACAGAAACTGTCACCGCCCGGGAAAGATAAACTTTGATAACATAACTTGATACACTATGTAATCAAACATGTGTGACGCTGTGCCAGTTTTTGTCCACAACACTAATCATTATTGATGTGGGAACAGTCCACAACAATGTTGTCCTATTTCCCGAACCAGTGGCTGGAAACGTCATGCCCTCGAGGCCTGACCTTGGCAACCAGCTGCATTGGGGTGATATGCATGGTTTCTATCTTAAACAAAAACAATCCACACATAGATTCAATTGGGGAAAAAATAAAAATTACCGCAATGCGCTGGCTGGCTGGATGACTGGATGCTGAGCACATGAAGGACTGTTGTGTCGGTAAGCTGTCCAGAAAGCATGTGCTGATTTGGAATCACACCCAATAACGATCTTCCACAATTGAGGTGATTGTTTTTCCCAAAGGGCATGTAAAACATCACTTGCCAAAAGCACTGGGAATTCCATGAGGTGGGTTCTGGCTGCATCAGGGTCGTAGACTTCGATGCACACGCTGTGGATTGGAAACGTTGATCCAAATAAGGAAGGAATCATGCGGTGAAGGTCTCTTTCAACATTACCTTGATGTTTACCCCAGCAGGCCAAAGAGGCTAAATCTCGGATGGTCGGAAGATCTAGCCCATCAGCATATGCTGCGTGAGCATACCTCTGAAGAGCATTGACATGCAATTCCTTAGTTGTGTTGATGTGTGAGGAAATGCTAACATTAAAAAAATGATGTGTTTATGGTTTGGGGTAACCATCAATCAAACCCCAAGGGAATCGAAACCAATGGTCCCAAAAAATGGTCGCTCACCAGTTATCTGTTGCAAGATAAAGTGACTTCACCCACATAATTCACTTAAATTTAAATATTTGTACATGTTCGATGAAGTTCACATAGTTGTGAGAAACTATACATGCAGTTATATTCATTCTGAATGCCAATGAAGTATGTGATAACTGGTGAGCATTATAATGACTTGATTGGTTACCAGGGAACACCTCGAGAAACATCCCACAGCATCGCATGGGCCAACTGGCTTCCAGGATCATCAGTTCGCTGCCGCTTAGCAGGTGGGCCTGGCGAGCGGCAAGATGTTAAGGGCAGGTAGTTATCCAAGGGAATAGCCAATTGGGCATTTCCATTAATGAAGGTAGCCAATAATCAAAAATAAGTTCCTGTAGGCAAACCATGGTTTTTGGGGTACCTTTATTAATTGAAATGCCAAACTCCAAGATCTTCACAATATATATATATATATGTATAGTGCTAACTGGTGGCTACAAGGTTGGAAAAACTTTGTGTGTTGAACTCAATGTCCATCCTTACTTGACTTAAACCATCAAAAGAATGTGGGCAATTGAGCCTGTACCAAATACACATTTTGTGGCTAACCCGAACGGCGATGGGATTTCAACATGTCACCGTGCTTTCAGAAAGCCCCATCATGTCCCCATATGATTCAACCAGCCATATATTTTGAGGGTTTACACCCCTTCAATTTTATGATATGTTGGCCTGACAACATTTAGTAAAGATAGACAATCATAGATACATCCATGGAATTAAAAACCAAAACGACATTCAGAATATTTTCTCCCATTAAGTTGGTCAATTACCTCTATGTAGTCAAGGTAACCCCACCATGGAGACGGTTGAGTCAAACCTTTTTGTCGCTTGTTCAACACGATCTCTCACCAGCCAGATGCGACATGGCACTCACCCAAAATGAATTGCCCTAAGCTGCAAAAGCTGGTTTCCCGCAAAATCCTATGGCAAATGAAGCCATCAACATCATCGCCCATGGTAGCCATCACCCACTTGAAGCTATGAATGCATTGGGTCCCCAAAGAATTCCATATGTAAGATTAGCAAGTAAGTGTCGCTACATCAAACTCAACGCATCTATTCCACTAGATGTCAAGTAAAATAATTTGGATTTGATATGGGATCAGGCTGCCTTAAGGGCTGCCGTTTTCATGGTGTTAGCCACCTTCTTCCTGGTTTTGAACCAACTTTGGTAATTGGTTGCCTGATCAAAAAGGACCTGATACTTCGACAGGTCATTGACTTCCTGTGATGTAAGCTGATGCAGATCACGGTACAGGTTTGTCATTGCCGAACTATGGGTGGTCAATGCCGTCTGCAGCTCCGTAGCGCACTCCAGGCCCTCGATGGAGATGCACAAAGTCCTGGCCTCTTCTGCCTCTTTCAACCTGAGCAGGACAGATGAGGGGAAGGGGCTCAATATATGGAGCACGGGTCATTCAACACCACATAGATATGTGTATGTGTATACATAAACAATGCAGATATGAACATATATATATATATATATACATATGTATACATATAACATTTATATTCATATGTAAATGTAAATGTAAATGTAAATGTATGTATGTATGCATGTATGTATGTATGTATCTATCTATCTGTGTTTATCGAAATTTAAATTCATGGAGTAGCTCTATGTTTATGTATGCATGTATGTATGTATGCATGTGAATACAAACCTATATTGATAGACATATATGTAAATTGACATTGATATATTTCAATATGTGTATACCTACACATATATATATATAAACATATGTAAGCAAATACATGTACACAAATCTGTTTAACCATGAATACATACATACATACATACATACATACATACATACATACATACATATATATATATATATGTTTATATAAACTCTTGTTTATACAAATGTATCTACGCATGTATGAAAATATTATGATCGTCATTGTTTGGAAATCGATGAACAGCTAATGGTTAGATCATGAGGTTTCAGCTATGTTCATCATAACCGAAACAAATCATTGTACCCGATGGCCTATTGCCTTTGATATAGGCACCATCACCCCATCAAACCAGGTGTTGAGCACAACAAAAGGAATGAAGTGCATGATAGAAGCATTGCAAGTTTGGTCTCCATGGGTATCAGTATGGATGTTTCATTTTGGTTTCCAAACTGTTGGCAACCCAAAGGGGACAAATAATTTAATGATATGAATTGTGATCCCTAGCTAGATACCACCTCAATTTCAAATTGGGAATCCTGAGCCCAAAACATTGATAATAAACCCCTATAGGCTTTATTCATTGGGTGTGGTAGCATTTTAGTAGGGAATCATCACTATTGGGGGTTATCGAACCCTATTACACAAACCATGGTAAACCAAGGTTTAATAATCCCAACTCACCATTACTTGCTATATTTGTAATACATGATCCAAGAAACACAATCTTCTTTAAGGCCATAGCCTTATCCAAAGGTGTCTGCGGTTTGTCGGGGGGAGGGTCAGAGGTGTTATCACCAGGCTTCGCCTTGGCCTTGGCTTTTGTTTTTGCCTTAGCTTTCGCGTTTCCTGCTGGTGCCTCTGCCGTGTCCCCATGGATGCCACCCCCACTGCCACCACTGTTGCCTCCCACCTGCAAAACCTCGTTCATGCTGGGCATTGCGGTTGTCGAGAAGTCAGCACCTTCCTCTGTGAGGGCCAAGGCTTCGGTTGGGTTGAGGGAAGTGTTTGACACCATTTCCTGTGAGTCCTCCCTGCTGTGTGCGATCTCATGGCTAACTTCCATGTTCACCCTGTATTGGCGAAGGTCTTCCCTGTTGGGAAAGTTGGGGTCATTGATGTACAAACCCTCGGCTGTCTTCCTGGCGATGAGCTCTTGTATGTCACTTTCGGTGTACCTCCCACATGCTTCCAAATCCTTCCTGCTCATGCATTTGTCCTTTGCTGCTGCTGTTTGCTTTTGCGCATTCCTCCTCCTGACCTCGATCGCCACCTGTTGAAAATCCTGCCCCTTCTCCAACCAAATTCGAAACAGATCTAGCTTGTTGCCTTGGAAAGCAGGAATCAAGCTTTTGACCATCTTGCTTGGGTTCCTGGCCGCACGCAAGTACTGCATGTACTCCGCACGATTGGTGACACTGTTGGGCAAGGCTCTATTTGCTGTCTCTGCTGCTGCTCCATCCACAACAGCATTGAGCTGGGATGGAGAGGGTGCTGCCTTGGGCACAGGCACCGGTGGGGGAGGCATGGATGCATCAGCCTCGGGAGGATTGGATGCACCTGCATCAGGATTGGGAGGATGGGCTGCAGCAACAGCTGCTTTGGGCATCGGAGGATGGGCTGCAGCAACAGCTGCATTGGGCATCGGAGGATGGGTTGCAGCAACAGCTGCATCAGGCTTCGGAGGATGGGCTGCAGCAATAGCTGCATCAGGCTTCGGAGGATGGGTTGCAGCAACAGCTGCATCAGGCTTCGGAGGATGGGCTGCAGCAACAGCTGCATCAGGCTTCGGAGGATGGGTTGCAGCAACAGCTGCATCAGGCTTCGGAGGATGGGCTGCAGCAACAGCTGCATTGGGCTTCGGAGGATGGGCTGCAGCAACAGCTGCATTGGGCTTCGGAGGATGGGCTGCAGCAACAGCTGCAATGGGCTTGGTAGCTGCAGGGGCATTGGGCTGCGGAGGTGGCAAAGCTTGGGGTGTGGGCTGTGGTGGGGATGGGATTCCCAAAGCCTTCCTCATGTTTGCCCTAGCACGTTTCCAAACCTCAAAGCCGACCACATCATAGTATGGCTCCTGCTCACCAAACCCCCAATGCTCATCACCATCACCCTCTCCGTTTACAGGCCCCAACTCCTCATTCACCCCATCAACATAGCTTTGGGAAGTCGAAGTGTTGTTTGGCCTCACTCACCATTCTTTCCAAATCTTCTTCCTCCATATTCCGAGTTCTTTCTCTACCTCAGCCTCTAGTTCTGGTGTACTCAAGGCACTTGGTGTCAGCACACCACCACCACCCATCAAGGCCTTGGCGAGGTTGCCTGCTGTGGCTGGGGAATGCTTGTCAAGGGTGCCTGGTTTTGCTGTGGAAGGGCTTGCGGCTGGGGAAGGGCTTGCTGCGACTGGGGAAGGGCTTGCTGTGGCTGCCGAAGGTGCAAGGGATGCTGGGCCTCCTAAAGGTTTTGGGGCATCACCAACCACCACCCCATCATCATCATCATCATCATCATCATCTAAGGGGTCACCATCAAGGGCTCCCGAGGCCACAATAGCTGCCAGGTCCTCATCGACCTGCATCTCCAAAGCCATCATCTCATCATCATCACCACCCACTGGCATGTCCGCTGCATCCAGCGACTCAGCCGGCTCAGGAGGGGCCGAAGAGCCACCAAATGAGGAGGCACTGGTGGAAGTCATTTCAGCCTGGGCTGAGGGTGTCAAAGCTGTTTGTAATGATATCATGATCGAAGATAATTTGATGGTTGTCATTAAATATGTAGGCCCGAACATATCTATACATTACACATTCCAATAGTCAAAGACAACATAGGGATACAAATACAAAGGACCAATGAGACCGTTGGAAGGTTATCAGTTATATATACCTATAACCAATTAGTTATAGAGTTATAGTTGTATAACTGGTGATCCTGGGTTTCATAACCAAACACATATAACTGGTGATCCTTGGTTTCATATTTGCCCATCCAAAAACCAAAGCCTAGAAACCACCATGTCTTCCCAGTTGACACCATTGAGTTGTGCTGCTAGCTGAAACTTTTCCAGTAGTTCCGATTTACCCATACGAGCTTTGGCTGCTGGATGTGGCATAGGGCTTGGACTCGCTCGCTTCTGCGCATGGTTGGTGGAACACACACCCCCATGACCAACCCCAGCTCTGTATGTGGTTGGGTCAAAAAACTTGAGAATATTTTCCTTTGTTGTATGACGCTCCATGTGGACCAATGGCTTGGGTCTTGGAGGTGAGATCAAACCTCTATAGGTTGTTGGGTCAAAGAATTTGTGGATCTCAGCTCGGGTTGGAGCCCCCCAATTGCCCTTGTCCTGGGGAGTCACAAAGGACCCTGGGTGTGGCATTGCACCAGAGCCACCATGGGTCTGGCTAGGATTGGACATCCCTCAAGCACTGTGATGCCAATAGGGCTGCTTGACCACCAAAAGGCTGAAGATGTCCATGAAATCATTATGTTTTTTCATGATTGGATTGAAATAGTGTGACATATGGTGTAGATAATAAGGAAAACACACAAAAGTGTGAAGTGTGAAATTTCACGAGTAGTAACGGCATAATCACGGAGTAGTAACGGCATCCAAGTTTTTTGTTTTTTCCATGATATGATGGGGATTGTTCAGATGATAGTGTGAAGTGTGAAATTTCACGAGTAGTAACGGCATAATCACGGAGTAGTAACGGCATCCAAGGTTTTTGTTTTTTTGATGATATGATGGGGGACCACCAAATGGATATTCACCCAACTAATTACAAAGTATTACCAACAAGTATTTAGAAGAGTACCCATAGTACTTGATAGCTTGGGTGTGCACCCCAAATGTTCATCCAATACACCATTCCAATCCATACAGTGATAAACATCTGGACACAGTGATGAACATATGATGAAATAACATTGCACACATACATATGTATATATATATATATACATATATGTATATATATATATATATCTACATATATATACATATATATATGCATATATATGTATACATATGTAAAACAGTATACATAGATTTAAATATACTCACATATATATATATATATCTATCTATTTCTAAATACAAATATACATATGTACCTATATATATATAGTATATACACGTATACATATATACCTATTCACATATATGTCATGGCCAAAACTCCATGGTCATCCCAGACCAACCCCTGATAATGGTTCATAATAGCAAGTTTTGACCATGGCTCATATGAGTTTAGGGAATACACCCCACTCCATGGGTGGCCTCCACTGCCAGCTCTGGCTAGCTGTGACACCCGCTTCATGGCCAGGTCGAAGCACCTCCAGATCGATGGGAATCCGATGGGAATCCGATGGGAATCCGATGGGAATCCGATGGGAATCCAAGTTGGGAATCCAAGTGGATGGGAATCCCTTTAAGTGGGTTTGATGGTGATACCCTTCAAGGGTGGTTGAGGATAATACCCCTTTTGGTTTCCATCCTCAACAATATGATTTCTGATTTCTTTACTCATAGCTTTGATGATGGGAACATGGATTCCTGTTCAGATAGATACACCAAACTATTAAGCAAGAACCTGGGATTCACAGATAATCAACCATTAACACAAACCCATTCACATCAAATTAGGAATTTATTGGGATCTCTTTGTTATTTTTCCATTTGGCATGGCTCCCCCATAAGGCACCCACAAGTCTATATGGAATCCAACAAATGGTGGAAAATACCTTTCTCTAATCGGCCTGTGGGTGCCTTTTGAGGGAGGCCAAGCAAAAGGGAAATTAGAATGCTCATTTAACCACAACGTCCATGGGTACCCTCTTCTATTTTTTCCTCGCCTTCCAGCATGGCTCCGGCTTGCATGGAGGTTGCAATTGAGCCATGGAAATTAATTGAATGAACCACTGAATGAAGTAATCATATGCATTGGGGTATACATCCCTGAACAAACGATACATCATATATTCATATATATATATATATATATAACAATATGTGGTATGTTGATAATGAATGATAATGGAAATGATCTTAACAGGTGTATATATATATATATACATTGGGCATGTAACATTGGGACCGCACCCAACGCTAATTGGCAACACTAATTTGAAGTGAGCACTTCATCACTTTAGCCAAGCCTTGGATGTGCATTGATTGCAAAGCAATGGTTCTGAACTCGCATCCATCATCAATTTCAGATAGGCATGCCAAAGTTGATATGCAATGTTGGGACACACCCCAAGGCTGATTGGCCAAACTAATGGGTAGTGAGATACTGCATCACTTCTTGAAGACGTGCATCATCCCACCGGTCTTTCTTAGCCAATGGAGACCAAATGTTTGGAATCGTGACCGAAGTCACTCAGGTTCAGGCCATTCATCTTCCTCCAACCAAACAGAAAGGGTAGCAAAACCAAACTGTGATGTGTAGGCTTGGCTTTCTTTTAAGCCTTTGCCCCCGGATACAGAAGGTTTGCCACTTTTCAAAACAGTACGGGTTGTGATATCATCACTCCAAGTTTTACCAGCAGGTAACGACCTTGACATTTTCTGCACAGCAGGTCTTGAAGACCATAACGTCGTCCCCTTCGGGCTGGGAGCCCCAAAGGCCCCCATCCAAGTCCATGCCCTATAGGCATGAACAGAACTGATAAAGTCCTCCATCCGAGGATGGCTCCAAAGCAATGATGACCCTGGTTGCTCATAGAGGTAAAACACGTTTTTGCACTGTAGGATGTACAAGATCAACGTCATCCGTGACACCATGACCTCGATAGATACTGACATTGTCAATCTGCATGCCTGGAAACAGTATCTCCCCATATGGTTGTATTGAAATGACATATTTGACAACCCATTATCTCACAAAAGTCACATACTCATAATAGTTGAGACAAGCTTAACGTATGAACTGTTTGCATCAACATTATCGTAATTCTGAAACCTCAGGTGGGTTTGTGAACAACCTTGGAAAGCCCCAGATCAACAACCCAGAGGTTCAATAGCCACAGTCCCCTACATTATTTTTATGTGGGTGTGCGAAGGCTAACATTCAAATCATTTAACCTACAAGTGTTCCAATGGACTGGCTACCAAACAAATTTAAACCAGACAGGCCACATCATCATGTTTGGATGAACTTAGGGAAACCTTCTTTTGGAAACCAAATCCATTGGACTTTTGTTTTCTCATTCCTCTATGATGGAACCATATAACAGTCACAGAATACTAAGGAAATGTCTTAGTCATAATCTTCAAACAAATTTCTTCAGAGGAGTGACCCCATATTAGATTACATTCCAAGATTGTTATTTACAGGTAGGTGCTACATCAGGACCCAAAAAGCAGGTTGAATTTAAACCACCACCCCAAAACGCCAATGAATATATACATACAGATACCGGGGTGGGTGTATAAACAATAATGTATTTCAAAAAAGAGGCACCAATTGAAACTAGTCCATATCCAATCTTAAGGACACCTCACCCACTCAATCGTTGTGTTCCAAGATGCGTTTGCGTCTTCTACACTCTTGACCCTTCTATCCCCCAAGGGGTTGAAGAACGATCTTCGCGTCCTGGGCATTGCAGGCCAGGCTCATAAGCGTATGGCACCCCCAGGTTTGATTTCAGCGAACTGGGCATGATTACGTTAGCCAAAACAACACAAACACAAAATTTCAACTATTGGAGCCCAAAGTGCTGGGAACGACTCAGAAATACCCATGTGCTGCAAACTGTCGCTATCATATAGAACGCATTTGGCTTAAGTCGTAGCGCCATCACCAACGCGACACAGAACCTAGAACATATGGTCTGTCTCACACTTGAAACAACATACAAATAAGTTGGGGGCTTTCACAAAACAACGTGTAAAACACAACTGAACAAAACAGTTGCAAAGAAAGCATAGGAACCCGATAGGACTGAGTATGTCCATCATCTCACCTTGTAGGTCAATTTCGAAGGGAACTGCCTTGAACCCGCAACGCGCCCAACATTGGGTAACCTCAGCAGGATTGCTGCAACCATTACAATTTTTATATATCCCGTGAACATTCAACCCTTTACTGAAAAGCAAAAGCGCAAAGGTAAGCATGTACGTACAAAACAAGACACAGCCATCCCACCAGCAAAATACTCAACTGCGTCCAAGTCCATCTTCAAGGCCCCGTTGCTCAACAAGATCAGGGACACCAACTGGAGTAGAACCCGGGGTGCGTCAATCGCTGCAAGAGCCCGCAGGACAGATCGCAACTACAGGGCAAAGGAGAACACACAAGCACAATTCAACAAGCAGCTCGATGAATACCTTTTGAAAACATGCTATATAAACAAAACATAACATGGTTCATTTTCACCACCTGACCTGCTCACCACACTTGTTGATGAGTCCGTGAGTCTTCGTAAGAGAGCGACCAATTTGAAGACCGGGCTGGGACAGACAACGCTGTGTTTTCTCAGGACCTTGATCTTTCTTCAATTTCCTGGATCTTTTCAAGATGGCTGAGGTCACCTTCTCACGCTCTTCTGGGGAAGGCTTCATCCGGGTGAGAACCATGGCGCCCAAACAAAAAGTAAAGGAGTTGCCCAATCCAAAACCAAAATGCTGAGGGGGAAGGCAGTAAGGACAAACGGTTCAAGTGAAGGAGCACACACCAACCAGTGAACTCACCATTGCAGAAACTTGCAAACACAAGCAAAGAGAGAAGACACTGCAGCACCTCTTTCAACCCTAACTGTGCTCACCTAGTCTCAACACAGCTAAATGACGCCCAGCCCCAATTGGGCAAGGCCAGCTAAGCTTCAAACCCACAGAACTGAATTTCCACACTTTTTCTGAAGCGTGGCGTCGCTGTGAACTAAGCAGGCAGCGACTGTTAAATTAATCAACCATGATAGCTAAGTCTCAGAGCCATCCCGCCTGTGCCTGAACAGTTTCCCATGCCTTTGAGATGTTGTCCATCCAAGCTGTCTGAAGGACTGCAGGCTTGGCATGCAAAGCCTTACCTGGGCCAAGCATAAAGCTAAGGAAGGGGCAAGGTGAATCATTACGCCAAACAATTAACTAGAAACAGAACCACCATTCTCTTCAACCTGCCCCTTGGAAATCTTGCTTTCAAAAGTGTTGGATACTGTTATCTTTCAGAACCTCCCTAGACTTTGAATAAATAGAGCGACAACCATCATTGGGATAAACAATGTTCATTGCAAAACTATTAAAACATAGTCATAATAGTCAGTGATCCCAGTAGCCATCTTTCTCACCAATCTTGACAATGCGAAACGCCCTTTGCTTGAGGAGAACCTCCACCCGAGCTTTGCTAGTGGGGCTGGAAATAGTGTAGCTAAGCCTGCCTTTGCGATAGCCTTGAGGAAGAGCATGCTCTGGCATACCTCCCCAAGGGTTTGGTAATCAACAATATTGTTTGTGGAAGTTCGAACCATGAAAGGTTCATGTCAAATGATTTCAAAACAAGGCTAACAATCCTTTTCTCCCCCAAACACATGTGATTATGTTTCCTCATCTATCTATCATTACCTATCTATCTATCTATCTGTCTGTCTGTCTATCTATCTATTTATCTATCTATCTATCTATCTATCTATGTTTATGTAAGTATGTTTTTTTTTAAAACCAAACTTACATATATAATAAACACATAAAATTTAAACCCAATATTATCACATACATTAAATGCGTTAAATGTCAATGCACAAACCATACGCTATAGTCATGATAAGCAAACAAATGTATATACATACATACTATTTGGTCACACTGAACTGCGGCCTTCTGGGATGGGCAAAGCGCCATCAACGGCTCCAAGGTCGGACTTCTTGCGATCTGCCTTGGGACCAGAGCAAAGGCAAGCTGGCTAGGGGCAGTGGAAACTAGCCATAGGAATGGTTTTATATGCACATACATAGGCCCATATTGAAGAAACACATGGGTCCTTGCTATTTCAAAACGGTTGAAAGAAAAAACCACCAAGTTGCAATGGATGGGTCAGCTGCAGGTGGATTAGCTTGTGCAGAATCACCCACAGCATCGGGGCTGGTCTTCTCACGCTTAGCACCCTTACTTGGTTGAAAACCGCTACATGAAAAACAACTCCATCGGGATGGAGTTTGCAAAACTACCCCCAAACATAGGAAACCAAATTTAGCTATGTTTTGCTTAAGGGCTGGCTCTTCATGGTTGTGAGCATCACTGGGCACTCCATCGGCAGGCTTTGGCCTCTTCTTCGAATCCTGGGCGCTGGACGGATGCCATTGCGAAGGAACCCCAGCTTATGACTGTTCTGATTTCTTTTGATCAAGGCAGCATCATGGGTAAGTATTTCCATGAGATGGTTAGACACAAACAAAATTGATTTCATGGTGGTACATAACCCCTATTTATAGTTGGTGTCGTTATACGGCCATGCATCTTCAATTCCAAATGTTCCTCAAAGTCTGGGTTTACATAACGTTACATAATGGTCACAATGGTTCAATATTTGAAACACATGGTAGCATTTCACTAGGTTCAATGTGAGTAGGACTTATATGTGAAGTGGTTCACTCGCAACTACTGGTGAACTAAGTGTTGATCCGTTCGATGTCAATGTATATATATATATATTCATTTGTTGTATTTTGTGTTTGCATAAAAACATATATCCATTCTTTGCAATAAGTGATTGGTAAATATATATATATATATATATATACATTTTTGTATATATAAATATATACATTCATTATATATATATATATTCATTTTTGTAAATATATATATATATATATATTATTTTCTATTTCAAAACCAGGGTTCCACCAAAAGAAGCTGCTGGCGCGGGTTCGCTGCGGTGCTGTCAGCTTCCGAGGCTGCCACAGCTTCCACTGGCATCATACAGACATCTGGACGGCTTGGGGCTGGCAAGGGCTCAGAGTCAAACTCCCTCGTCAAATCCTTCAGGGCGTTATGTGTTAACCCTGATTCAGCCATATTGTGTCATGGTCAAAAATCCCTATAGTGGCCATGGTCATCCCATCCATAATAGGGATCCTTGAAGTGGTTGCTATAAATCCCTATTAACCATTGGATGATCACCCCCTCATAATGGTTGATAATACCCAATTTTGACCATGGCATTAATATCATCAAACCGATCCAAAACCCAGGAACAATGTAGGATATTCCACAGCATTATTATGTGTTTTACTTTGTTGTATATATTGGCCTTGGCTGGGGTCTGCGAAGAATCCACGGGCGTAGAATCCAGGGTCATAGGGCTCACAGCTTCTGTGGAAGGTGTCTGGTTGGACCCAAGCGAGTTGACATACTCCATCCACTTGCAACCAGCCCCCAACTCTCGCTCCGCCAAATTAGTGAAGCTTTCGTAGCTGCAAGCTTGGTTGGGGTCAAGCCTAAGGGGTTGCTACCCAACTGTTTTTGGAGCATTCATCTTTGCACTTGATGAGATGTATATAGCAATGGCAAAGGGATCATTGACCACCACCATCAGGTTGGATACATGTCCCCTGGTAATGTTTCTACAATACCCCTTACTCAAATGGTCCCCAATCAAGGCAATAGGGCCTCTACTTGATTTATCTACTACGAACAGAATGACTGAACCAACAGACCAATGGAGAAAAACAATAAGTACCTGCCTAACAAGAAATGACATATTTATGTTCACCATTCATTACTATATGGATACTTTGGCAACTTTAAATATTATGATTCTATCATACCCTTTGGTTCTGGTATATGTCGTTTTACCATCCTTACCACCATTCAAAGCCAACCATGCTTTGCTGTCCGGCCACCCCAGGAGAGCCATAGTTTCATCAAAGATGGAGCTCGAGGAGTTGGACACTTCTCCAGGAGACTTGTCTGGAATCTCTTGCCTTGGCTGGGACGGGTGGAATACAAGGTTCAAATCATGAAGTTTTTTGCCTTAGTTTGGGCACTCAAGTAAAACCACACATTTCCAAAAACACTTGAAAACAAAGATCACTAACTCTGCAACTAGCTACCCCAAAACCAAAGTTGTTGCGTTACTCATGGTACTCACGCTGGTATCAGTTGAAGCCACCGATGATGAACGTTTGGTCCTAACTGGCCTTTGGTTTGCCAAAGACTTGAGGTATGTCACCTCTGCTGTTTTTCCATTCTCAGACTTCAAGGCTGAGGTGCGAACATAGCTCAACAGTTTTTTCAACCGTCCACCCTCAGACAAAGCATTGTCCCTCCTACTTCTCTCCATGATGGGACTTTCCTGGGCCCCACCCAAAAGAGATCCGTTCCACAAATCATCCAGCTTCAGGACCACATCCCCCAACAAGTAGCCAGATGGTTGCCAATTCTTTGGGTAGGATACTAGCAATGCTTCTGCAACACTGCTGATATGGGCATCCTTGATGACATCACCATTGAAATGGCTAGTATTAAGAATACATCCATTTCCTGGTAGTTTCCGGACATTGATGTGGTACTTCATCGCCTTGGCAATGGTTTCTGGGATATCCGGTGTCCACCATGTTCTCCAATCAGCTAAAGGTCGCAGGTGCAAAGGGGAGCTTGCTGTAATCTTTGATAGCGCCATTGCAATCACCGATGTGTCCAATATTCCCAAAATGCTTTTCTTAGAGCCACAACGGTTTTCAATTGCCAATGCGGTCGGGCTAAATATAATAACCATGGTAACCCTGCACTGGCTTGAGAAGGCTTTACTCTCCACCCCAAACCTAAATTATCATAATCACGTTCAATCCAGAACTAGGTTTACCATGACCAAGACCCCGAAGAACATATCTTACTGGTTGTCAACCCATATTAATGATAAAATGGTCAACCTTTGGGTTTTTCATTCCTCACAGCCAAGGATGGCGAAGCCCGAAAGCTACCTCGAGAACTGCGCGTTGCGTTGCGGCATCTTGGGAATTAAAAAACCCTGATGATCTATATGTATTTATCAAATGTTGATGAATGGTTGATTGATGGCTAGTTGATGCTAAACTCATGAGGTTTTGATGGATTTTTGATGGTTGCTGAAGGTTAGTGAAAATGGATAGTAATTCTATATTTTTTTTATGATTTATAATTTTGGTGTCCATGGCAACATGGTGATATAACTGTTGGATATTTTCACTGACTATAGGGATAATCTGATACCTTACCTCGGAATGAATAGTTTGGAAGATATATGTATGAACATCATCGTGGATACCAAGTGGATCCAAATGTATCATGAAGTCATACGGTGGATGGAAGAAATCCTGCAGCTTATCCCCTTATCACCCCATTATTTACAATGTTTCATAGTTACCTACCGGTTGCCAACTGGTGCAGGATTTCTTCCATCCACAGTATGTCTCCAAATTGCTAACCCCAAAGTATCATCAAATAAATGCCGTCCAATTAATGAAGGCTATTGCGGCATCATGAGGTGCAAAGCCTCTACCATGACTGTTGAATCGTTTATATAGTTTACATATACAACGGTAAGTTGGTATTCAAAACACTGCATGGGTTGATCTCTTGGGGCTGGTACCCACTGCAAGTATTTACATGTTTGTGGTGGTTTTCACCCAACATTCACAAATAAACATTATTTTATGAAACCGCAGTGTATTGATACCAACTTACCATTACATCATGGGAAAACCATCATATTATACCATGTGCCAATCATAATCAGATAATAATTTCCACCAGCCGCACGCGACCCTGCACCAATGGCCACCAATGTGTCCACCGCCGCCCGATCCAGCGAGTAAAATGATATACCATGTTAATGTTTGAGTTTGTCATGGTAAACTACAATTTAGTTACAATTTAGTTAGCGGTGCAATTCCACTGGTTTAAACTAGAACCACAAAACCATATTCACCCCGCTTCGCGTGGGGTGGCCGCCCACACCGCAGGTTTATTTCGGTCCGTGAGAGGGGCTAAGGGTGGTTTTCCCCCGTGGGGGCTCCCCAAGCTAAGACTTTTCACTTCCCCCCCGTGGGGGCTCCCCAAGCTAGGGAATTTTCACTTTTCCCCCCCGTGGGGGCTCCCCAAGCTAGGGAATTTTCACTTTTCCCCCCCGTGGGGGCTCCCCAAGCTAGGGAATTTTCACTTTTCCCCCCCGTGGGGGCTCCCCAAGCTAGGGAATTTTCACTTTTCCCCCCCGTGGGGGCTCCCCAAGCTAGGGAATTTTCACTTTTCCCCCCCGTGGGGGCTTCCCAAGCTAGGGAATTTTCACTTTTCCCCGCCGTGACAGCTTCCCAAGCTATGGAATTTTCACTTTTCCCTCCCTTGGAGGCTCTCCAAGCTGCGGAATTTCAAATAGCTAGACAACGACGCCTAGATAGTCCCCCAAATCCCGTGTTCTTTGAATGTGTTTCCATGTTTTTGCAATGGTTTCCTTCAAACCACGGTACTTTACACTTTTGTCGCCATAAAACCGGTCGAAAACAGCATGTTCGACAATGCTTCCAATTCCCTTATCTCCCCAACCGTTGAAAATACCGCTATTTACAGTGTTTTCTTCAATTTTTCCATGTTCCAATGCCGGTAGCCAACTCCAACATATATATAAGAAATCCTTCCAAAACATTGTTTTTGACAGTGTTTTTCCAATGTTTCCAGTCAAACAGACGGTAATTTACACGTTTTTTGCCATAAAGGCAGTAAATCCTTCCAAAACATTGCTTTTGACAGTGTTTTTGTAATGTTTCCAGTCAAGCATACGGTAATTTACACGTTTTTTGCTATAACGTCAGTCCAAAACACTTGTTTTTGCAGTGTTTTCAATGCTCTGGCATCCAAAAACACTGCAAAATCTTGCTATGTACAATGTTTTTTTCATTTTTTGCCGTTTTTCCATTGCCGGAAAGCTACCAAAATGACCCAAAATTCCATTTCAATACCCTCTTGCGCTCAGACACCCAAAAATCCTCGAAAAATGTCGAAAACGTTTTGCCCCCCAATAAGCACGCCTTCACCGCCAAAGCGGTGTGGGCGGATTTCAAGTTTGTTGGGGTTACCCTGCTTGTTTCAACATGATCATGTTCGAACATGTTTTGAAGGTATTTGGTTTCATTGACCATAAACAAAAAAAACAAAATACAAAAACACCACAGAAGCTGGAAAGGGTGGCGATCGGCCAGCGATGTTTCACTCAACCCGGCTATATGCATGGACCCATGAACACATGACACATGATTATAAAACACTTCGGTTGGCTATGCATGGACCCACAAGTCATGACACATGGTTAAAAAACACGTTGTAGTCATAAACGAACAAATAATACACCATGAAAGTTTAGAAGGCAAACTTCCGAATTATGGAGTTTAGAAGACAAACTTCCGAGTTATGGAAAGATGCACTTAGTATCATGTATAGTTGTTGCTTCCCACCCACCACACCCAAGCAGCAAACAAAGCGACACATCTTCAAACTTAGATGCTGATGCTAAGCAATGTTAAGCATATGTGCCTTCGCTTCCCGCCCGCCCAAGGCCAGAAATGCAAAACACGTGCTATGAACTGTGTGTTGTTTGTGAAACCTTTCCTCTGGCTGCGCGCGCTGAGCCAGGATTTGCACATGGGTGTGGTAAGCAGCAACAGTGTAAAGACCACAGTTACTGTGGTGGCTTCTGATCAAGCTAGCATAGCCACGGGTCTCCGTGTGCCAAGTAGACATAGTCACGGGAGCTAGTTGCACCATGGCTATCTCAGCTTCTTGGGTCACAAGTAACTTGAGACTTGGATCCTCCAGGAAGAATCTTAAGCCACGGCAGTCTTGAATTTGGCAGGCGTGTTTTGGATCGACTGTTCTGGCAACTGCAGCACTGGTGTTAGAAATCGAAAGAAAAAACGATGATGCGGTGGCGCAATCTGTTTCATCCATGCCAGAATGTGAATCCTTTACATGTAGCGATGCTGAAACGTGCGCTGAGTCAGTTATCGACTGGCTCAGGGCAATCGTCAGAGAGTTGCGTCGGATCCAAGAACTCTAGCAAGGTGGCTCGCAAGCCTAGCTTGACGTCTTTGGAGGTTGGCACGCCATTGGTCAGGCTAGGGTTGGGCAAGGTAGCCAAAGGCCAGCCTGCAACATTGGTTTCGGAGATTTGCAAAGCTGCCAGTGCTGAAAGCGGCCCTGGGAATGTCAAAGCGGGTTTTTCGTAGAAGTTTCATTTGCATAAATTGTTTTAATTTCCCACCGATGGCCATAGCTTTCAGTTTTGGGTTGCTTCATCCGATCATGTGTGAGATTCCAGAAATTTAAACATGTATTCACATACAATTCTTTGTCTTCCTGTTTGTATGGAACGTTTTGTCGGAACCATTGAGCTGCAAACAATCGGTGCGCCGCTTAATAGACTAGGGCCAGAAACATGTAGAAATCTGTAGAGCCGATTGTTTGGTCATCTGGAAGATGTACTGCTTATGCATGGGCTCATTTTGCATAAGGTCACATGCAATATGTGTGCATGTGGATCGAACGCAAGGTACCCAATGGGCAGCCTCACTTTCAGCAATGGAGAATGCAAAGCGTGATCTTCACAATGCAGTCTCCAAGGCGAAGGACGTTGCTTCGTCTTAAGGGTTAGTATATTATATGGTTTTGCGCGCGCCAATGTGTTCGTGCAAAAATGTGTATGGGTCAGTTTGCCTTTGCGCGGAACATTCTGTCGCAAGCACAATGCCAAGCTCGATCCAAGGTTCGTCTCAAAGTCCACGTCACCTATGTGTCGGTGCCTGTGATCGACAAGAAGTATTGGCCTCGACCAAAGCCGAAAAAAACACCATCAAGGATTTGGGGCAAACGAGGCCGGCCAAAGGCACAGGCAAAGAGGAAGCCAACAAAGAAAGATACAGAGCCAAGGAGAACTTGCTGGGTCCAGTGGCCCGTCCTTTCTCCTGCAAAGCTTTTCCAAGCCATTGTCGAAAGTGGTTCAATGTCGCTGTTGCAGCATCCAGATTTCGATTTGTGCGACTTTTGGGAGCGTGCTTCGGTAGAAGACTGGGGCAGAGAGCACCCTGTTGTCAAACAATTTGATGTTGAGGCCCGTGCGCGTGCAATTGCGGCAACCTTTCACGGCGACGAGGGCGAGGGCAAGAGGGGCCGAAACACGCTCATCCTCAGCTGGAGTTCTATAGGGGTCCACGGGCCGTCATCCTTGACGAAGTTTCCATTCTGTGTTGCTTGGCTTGTATATTGAAACACATCAGAGTGATCCTATGTGCGTTCATCACTATATATAGAACTTCAAACCCTAAACGGGCCACTTTTTTTGTTTGCTGGCCAGTGGTTCGCATGGGAAACATGCCACTGCTCGTTGAGTTGCCATCTTGATTCGAGCTTTTGGTGGTAAATTTTCGCAACATGTCGTCCTGCAATATGCCTGACACGACCCATGGATGGCAGTATGCTGAACTGCCGGGTCCCAATGACACATTGGACCTTCCAAAGCGCGATGCCTACAAGGACGAACTGAATTGGAAAAAGCTGTGACCGAAATCTTCGGATAAAGCTAGCCAGGCTTACACGGACTTCTGCAAGAGCTTTGAGGAGCAGGAGTTTCTGATCACCAATGTTTTCGGAAGCTTCAAGTGGCATGTCAAAAAGGTGGTGAGGCATCATATGATCGCCCATCATTGCTCCCTGAAGTTTCCGGCCTTGGTCTTGAAGCCAATTCAGCAGTACAAGCTTTTGGCGACGTCGGTGGACCGACCGCCAAATTGGTCAGTGGAGTTCACGAACCCCTGTGGAGACCCAGGTGATGTGTTGGCCATCGTTTTTGGTGTGGAACCCAAAACATGGGCTGAGACGCTGGCTGAGGGTAAAGGCCAGATCGTTCGCCGAGGACTGATCACCGAACAGGATGCCGGTGTGGTGCAGTTCATGGCTCAGCATGCCGATGAGATGTTTCTTTGCCGAATCGTGAATAACCAGCTAGTCTGCCACAGCTCTGCCGGCGGCAGCAAACGCCGTCGCAAGGCATAGATAGATGCTGTGCAGCCATGGAGACCGGTCTTAGCTTTTTTGTTTTGCAGCTTCACGTGCTATGTGAAGTTGTTTTAGCGAGAGACAAGTTGCAGCGCTCTGTGCCAGCACCTCAGAAAAAGTTGTCGTGCACTCCAGCTGTGGTTCCATGGCGGCAGTTTGTTCCTGAACCCAGAAAGCTTGACAGCCACTCCAGGACAGTAATGAATTCAAACCACATATATAGCTGTCTGCCACCTAAGAAAGAAAGAAAGATAGATAGATAGAGAGAGAGAGATATATATATATATATATACAATAGTTGAAGGCAAACGAAATACAAGCAGCGTCCCATGCGAAAAAGAAGAATGGTGTATAGTAAGCTTTGAGCTGTGCAGGTTATAAAATCTGACATCATGGCCTTCAAGGACAAGACCAACGTGACCATGATGGCCCTGCAGCAGGCGTTTGTGAGGACTGCACTAGTGTCATTCTGATCGAGCATGGCAGGTGTCAAAGCGTAGCATTTCGCTGATCCAGGTTACAGCTTTCAGGTTTTGGAAAGAAATTCACATATCACATGTGACAAACTGAGGTTTTTCTGGCGCACATCCATGCATGGCTCTCTCATATATTGATGCCTGCCCGTTTCTGCATGCAGGATGATGAATTCGGTGGCAGAGACGCCATGCGGAGGAGGCTACACCTTGTTTTACATAGCTGGCAAAGGCGACTGGAAGCACAAAAAAGACTGGCTTTGCGAAAAGCGGTATTGGTCTCAGACAGGTGTGCAGGCGAACAGGGCAGGGATTTGCAGGCGGTGCTATGCCAATGGTCAGACATGGATGCAGTTGGAAGATGCGACAGATGAGTCAGCCATTGCCCCTGCGTTCGGGGAAGACATTCCGCTTCTAGTTTGCAGATAGTGATTTGCACATCAGCAAGTCAGTAATTCCGATATGTTTTAGTACGGAGTATACAGATTCGATTACCACTTAAGATTTGATGGGCCTATAGATCAGATATTGTGTTTTCACGATCACCTCATGACACGTGTTGTAGAGTTCGTCCGGGGGAGTGGGCACACACATGAGTTGGTGCAACCGTTCTATATATAGCTCATGTGGACACAGCCTATCTAAGACCGAAGCCTTGCGCCATCTGTCCCTGAGGCTGTGGGGCCTGGCTGGGTGGAACCCGAACATGGAGTGGTGCGACATATTGCACGCAGTGTGGCTTGGTGTCGGTCGTGATTTGTGCGGCTCTTTACTGATGCAAGTGGCCACTCACGGTGACTTCGCAGAGACAAGCTATGATGGCCGATTGCGTGCTTTGCATGCGAAGTGCCAAGCGTGGTGCTCTCGAAACAGCATCCGCCCTAGCACCATCGAAGAGGTCAGTCTCCTGCACGCATATTGCTGACAGACTTTGGGGTTTCAGCCCTCCCATCCAACCTGAAGGTTTTTGGATTTGAGGGATGGGGTCCTTATTCACAACTCAGGCTTGCAGAAGCTCGGGGTGGATGCCTTGGCCTATGATTTTCCACTGGGGCCTAGCAAGGCGTACGCCATCCGGGTGTGGTTTCTTGGAATTTTGTCTGTGGAATTTTTCATTTCTCCAGCAATTCAACTCTACGTAGTAGCACCCTGTAATTGATATAGGAAGAGAGATATCTGTACTATTTTTCGGCAATTATTTTTAATATGTATTTATTAATTATATTTATTACATGGTGTAGGTTGAGTTCTGGAGATCGAGGATTGCATTCCTTGCTGAGTACATCTTCGAAGATTCTGGGCCCCGAATTCTTGTGAGGCATCTTACTTGTTTGCGTGATTTGCTAAGGTTCGTCACGCTGTTTTTTTGTTGGGAAAGTTTGCGCTTTTTGCCTAATTTAAAGCTGTTCGCTTCGACCCTATATCAATGGACACCGCCCTAGGAGACAACATCCGCGGAGCTTCATGCCCCTGGTGTTTGTGCATGGGCATTAGCGAAGTATGGAGCGACATTGGATTCTTCAGGGCTTTGGTTGGAAGAGGAAGCTGCAGTTGCTGCCTTGACTTTTGGCGACTTGTTCATGGCATGCTACCTAGAGCAATCCTCTAAGGCCATTGCCGAGAAGAAGCCATTGTACCGCATGAGACCGAAGTTCCACTCAGTGAAGTGCGAACTTCTCAATCGGTTGCGGCAGGGCAGCCGGCTAAACCATAGTCATGTCGGATGCTTCAATGAGGAAGATTATGTGGGGCAGGTGACTCGCATGCTGAAAGGAGCGGTTCACCCATTAACGCTTGGAAAGCGTGCGCTGGAGCGCATGCTCTTAGGCATTAATGTCCACCTGGCAAACGCACAGCAAGAGCAGTCCTAGCTTATTCCCTTGCATGCCTTTGCCCGGCAGCAAAACAGTAGCAACAACTTTTGTGACCGGGCCGGCCGGCACATATACAAAATTTTGGTCTCACATTGTTCAAAGAGTGATGGTTTAAACCATGTGAGCTCTATGCGATTGCAAACGGGGATCATATATTATTGCAGAGGCAAAAGAACGCCACGCTCAGATTCCACCCGGCCGTGAACGTTATCACTCTTGGAACAAATATTATAAGCTAATTTGGACCACAGGAAAAGCTTTGTTTTTTGGTCTAGCCAAAAAACATGTTGGGCAGTTGGCCTCCTGTTTTTTCCGTGCAAACCATGTTCACTTTCCTGGAATCAAGCCAATTTAATTTTCTTGACCTGAGAAAATGAGATCAAATAAAGGAAACGGATGTGAAACAAATTTTTTAAGTGAAGCGTGATTTCAAATCTGTGAGTGCATTAAGGTGGGGGTTCGTATGTTCATTATTGTTTGTTTCGACGGAGTTTCCTCTCAATATCGCCGCCTTAATGACCAGGGTAATTCATGTCCAATTTACAATCCCATGATTCCTCATGTGTGGGCCAGCCGGATGAGCTGCCAGATGTTCACACTCCAGCTACACTGGTGTTGGGTGTAAATTTTCTGCCGTTTGACCTTGCACGAGCTCAGCGCTTGGCAGCGGATTTATTCCTGCAAGTCACTTTCAATACTTGCAGGTATACCTGGCACACCCATGGGGTGTATCCGTTCTTGACTGAGTCTGATAAGCAGAGCTTAGCAGCCTGACATGGCAATAACTTGAGATTTGCGATGTGAAAAGAGAGTGACGTGTCCGAGAGTGATTCACTGCAAGCCATTCGTCATTTTTTTTTGTGCACGAAGTTTTTTGACTTGTTTAGAAAGGTTGGTAGAGGAAGTGTGTTTGTTTGAGAGAAGTTTGATGAAGTGAATTTGTTTTTGGGTATTGGCATCGGTTTGTGGTAGTGCACTGCATGGAGGCATGGTAAAATATGTAGACGCTCTGTTTTTTTAATCACGCGGCATAGTTATAATTGATAGGACGCGCCCACACTTCCCCATAGGGACTATTAAATAATATGGCGTCTTTTTTCGGAAGTCTTCATGCAACGTAACACGGAATTGTTACTTCTATAAACTTCCAGGCTCAAGTTTAATTAGGGGTGCGCCGTGCACCGCTTTATATTCAACACATGCATGGCCGTACACTTGCATATCCCGACTTGCTGAAGCACAATGTCTGACAGCACTTGCTTAGGGACAAACTAGAGGCTGTGGTGCATAGCTTAAAAAGTGTCCTTTTCAGAATTTGACCCGGGGACAATTTATTTTGCACCGGGCACAAGTTCCAGGAAAGGACGAGGGTGCAGGCAGGCGGCCTTAGTGACGCCAAAAGCATGTTCAAGCTGTCGAGTTCCAAAGGTGACTTGGACTCCGAGGTCAAAGAGGTTTTGGTCGTCTTTGACGATGCCTCTATCCGCAACAGGAAGCAGCGCGTGCGCGGAGGCTACACCTCCCACACGTGCATGGCTGTTGCAAGCTCTAACTGCTTAACGCAGTGCCTCCCTGAGAAGCAGTTTGAGCACCACACTGGCCACTGCACGTCCAATGTTGTGCATGGAGTCAAAGCCTTGTCACCCACAGACCTCTGGCACACCAACAGGAGCGAGAAAGTGGAGATCCTGGGCAAGGCAAGAACCGTCGAGGTGACCCCGGAAGCTGCCGAGAAGAAACAGTGTGGCGAGCAGACTGCAGTGCTGGAAAGCGTCTTCTCCGCTAGCTTGTTGCCAGAGAATTTTTTCCGAGACATGCTGAGAGGCCACTCGGACAAAGCAATGGTGGATTTGTCTTGTGGACAAGGATCCGCTGCCCGTGCCTGTTTGCTGGAACGACTCCCTTATTTTGGGTTCGTTCTCTCAGAAGCCCATGGGAAAAAAATGGAGATGATGCTGACGGAGTTCGTGCTGACTGAAATGCGCAGAGAAGGTTCGAGCCATTACAGGCCGGAAGCCGCGCAAGAGCCGCCAGCCGAGATGGTCAAAGACGGTACCCAGCCAAAGAAGCAGAAAAGCGACACGGCACCAAAAGGAGAGCCGAAGCCCAAGAAGCCACGAAAGACCAGCAAAAAAGAAGATGAGACCGAAGAAGTTCCCGTGGACGCGGGCGCTGGTGGAGAAGAAGATGAGGGAAAAAAATCCCCCTTGCCTTGGTGAGAGACTCGCCGTGTCTGAGTGACCGGAGGCGGCTGTGAGGCTTTAAAGAGGCCTATTTAGAAGATTAATTTAGTAACAACACATATTTTAAATCCACGCTTATATATACACCCCCACCAATGTTGTTTTCCAAGCCTCACGGATGTGCCTTGGTGTAGGACTCCCGTTGAGCTAGCGTCAGCGGTCCTCCTCTCACTGAGAAAAAAAGGGAGGCCTATTTTTTTTTGGAATTTTTTCTTTTACGTTTTTGGATTTTTTTTGGGGTTTCTTGTTTTATCTTGCTTTCTCCTTTTTTTTTTTGCTTTTTTGCTTTTGTGCTTTTTTGTTTGTTTTTTTTGCTTGTTTGCTTTTTTTGTTTTTTTTGCTTTTTTGCTTTTTTGTTTTTTTTGTTTTTTTTGCTTTTTTGCTTTTTTGCTTGTTTGCTTGTTTGCTTTTTTTGCTTTTTTGCTTTTTTGCGTTTTTGCTTTTTTTTGCTTTTGTGCTTTTTTGCTTTTTTGCTTGTTTGCTTTTTTGCTTGTTTGCTTTTTTGCTTTTTGCTTTTTTTGATTTTTTGCGTTTTTGCGTTTTTGCTTTTTTGCTTGTTTGCTTTTTGTTTTTTTGCTTTTTGTTATTTTTGCCTTTTTTGCTTTTTGCTTGTTTGCTTTTGGCTTTTGGCTTGCTTTCCATGGCTTTTGGTTGTATTTTTAGTATGTCAAACTTGCACATTTTTCAATACACTAATTTGAATCGACTATATTCATATATATATATATGTTTAAATTAAAATCTAGATATATATATATTTACATATATATATGTATATGTATATATATATATATATATAAATATAAATATAAATATATATATATATATATGTATATGTATATATATATATATATGCATTTATATACACACTTGTATATTTATATCTAGATATATTTATATTATTTATATTTTCTGCTTATATATATATTTTTTTATATACATATTATTACTATTTATGTTCAAATTCAAATATATATATATATTTACATATATTTATATTTACATATATATATATTATACATATATATATACATATATATATATTTTACATATATATATATATTTACATATATATATATTTACATATATATATTTACATATATATATATATTTATTTTTATATATGTATATTTACATATAAATATATATTTATGTACCTATATATATATATGTATACATTCATATGTATATACATATAAATCATATAAATGTATATATATATAAAGAAGTATGTATCTATAAGTATATGTACTGTATTCCACATGTTTCCAGGGTGCATGTCGTGTAGTCTATACATCTTGAGTATCACATTCAACCCAGCACCTTGCATGTAAAATAGGTGTTTCCAATCTGCTTTGGGGGGGAGGCGCTGCGCCCTTGTTTTTGTTTCGACCTAATACCTACATAGGTACATGCATGAGTATTGAGCACATTTATATGCGCCCTTCAAGGCTCAAGAGGTATATAGAGTAACCCTGTAGACAAGCACGGACCGGCAACAGGCTGAGAGTAAAACAAGTGCTGTCATTGGGGAAGACGCCTTAGCTGATCTTGAAGTAGACGCTAGGGCCCCTCTTCAAGTGGTAGCGGAGCAGTGATCCCTCATTGAGGGTGAGCTCCAGGTAGAGCCCAAGAAATGGTAAGCCATGGCTATGATGATGATGACTTCGACATTGTCGATGCAAATGAATGGAACCAATATGACTCTTATGCAATGAGAAGAGCACCCCAGCATACACAGATTCATATGACGCAACAGATGACCACAAAGGTTGCTCCAGCCTATGATGGGCGAACCAGCTTCTTTGCTTTTGAGGATGCAATTGATGACTGGTGTGACATTACGGAGTTAGAACCAGAGAAACGTGGTCCAGCATTGCGCAATAGACTGGAAGGAGATGCTCAACAATACAAGAGGCTATTGGATAGAGAATTACTCAGGGATCCCTATGAAGGAGTGGCTTATTTCAAAAGATTTCTACGACCTCATTTCATCAAAGGTGCCCAGAACGTGTTCTTATACCGTTTCATGCAGTTCATGAAGTTCAACAGAGGAACCATGGATCTTCAGAAGTGGATGACTAGATTTCAACTCACTGGCAATAGACTTATTGAGTCTTGGATGGATTTACTTCCAGAAGTAACAGTGACTAGTCCTGAAGCAATTCTGTTTGTTCAACAACGACGTCAAGAACATGAACGAGATCAACAAGAGAGAGCTGAAGTAGCAGCAGCCTCAGGAACACCCCATGTAGCTGTTCCTTGGACAGATGAACTGTCACTAGCGGCATTCAGACAATTTCAGGAAAATCGTAGAGAAGCACAGCGACAAGCATTCCCACTGGGTGAAAATTTGCTAGCATTGATTTTTGTAAGTCTAGCTGACCTGAGTCAAGATCAGAGAAACACACTCACAAGTATCATGACACATCGTGGACGAACCCTCGATCGATACAGCATTCAAGCACTACGTGACCTGTTCTTGGAAATGTTTTGCACTACCAAAACAGCAGTTGACAATCCATTGATGCAACCCTCTGGCATGGCACAGAGAAGATCTTTCCTCGTACTGGATGAAGGTGAATTAGAAGGAACCGACGGCTATTGGGCCGAAGATGAAGAAGACGGCGCAGAAGGATTCCTGGATGCCTTAGAAGATGTTTTCTGGGTTTATGATGACGCCAACTTCACATGGTATCAGAGAAGGTTCCAAGGCAAATACATCAGACGAGGCAAAGGTAAAGGAAAGAGAAA